CGGTCGTCGCCGCGGAGGCACACACCAAATTTGGTGGCTTAGTATTGCTTACCGGTTTTAAAGGTAAAGGGACTGATTATTTATTCTTTGTGCATAAATAGTGTTTTAAAACGTTGAAATCGTGTGCGCACGGCGCCTTCTAAGCGCTTGTCATGTTTGTGACGTGTTTTCACCTTTTACGGGTGAAACGACGTCGGAGCTGAAATAAGGGCTTACTAAGGGCTAGCTTTGTGCTCGCTAACATTGTATCAGATTTCCGGGAACCACCCCTGGGAACATCACGAGTTCCCTTTTGCTTTTCTCCGAAAAAAAAAACGACATCTAGCCTGAAAGCACCTCCTCTGCTGAGCCCTGGTTCGGGCGCGTTACATCGTTATACACAGCCCGGACAGGCGAGTGTGTCCATCCCGTGTTTTCTGAGAAGTTGCTTAGTGTGGCTCAAACGGGCAGCAGAGACCGATCTGTCGAGATCGGGACTTCCGTGCTCGACATGGCCAAACTTGCCGTATAGAAAACTGTGATTCGGGAGCGTTTATCATTGACAGCCTTGCCTTTACTTTTACTAACGAGGGAAGGATACTTGGTGACCGTGGCCTTTTGCAATGAGATGTAATAGACCAGTAGGTGCGTTTTGGAACGGTGATTCTAAATCTATGTTCATTATCTGCTGTGCGACTCCCTGAATGAAGTTATGGACTTTTTTCCATATTGATTTTGCGAGATTTAGACAGTCAAAATCATCAATATCCAGGCTTTTTAGACTCTGATGTATTGGTGACAGTTTTTTTTTTGAACTTAAGGAAAGCTTTGGTTTATCTGTACGCTCTTTTGTAGTGCGTAAGCAAACATTCTAACGATATTAGTGAATCCTGCATCAAAAACAGTGCAAATTTTGGTGACAAGAAATGTTCGTAGCTTCTTTCGGAAGAGCGCACAGCAGACAAAGAAAATAGATTCGGAATCAGCGCTTCAAGATGCATTTAATGGTGTATGTTTCATTTCAAAAGGCCACAGTCATCAAGTATCCTTTCCTTGTCCAGCTCGCGCCTTGCTTACAAATAGATATCGGTCTATAAGCGGCACGGCACGTAGGGCGTTTTGTTTAGGCAGGGAAACAGTTTTGTACCATTGGGGCAGTTCTTATAAATGATGGTCCTCAGGTGACAGGTAGAGTAATTTGAGAATATGTCGTGAGTAAATGCTCCATTTCGCTTTTTTTTCTTGGGAGTCGGAAGGCAGTTTTATCTTATGAATACGGTCTTTGAGCGGCACGTACGACAGTTTCTTTTCACATAGGCTCTCTGTAAGCGGCACGTAGGGCATTTTGATTAGGCATTTTTGTACCTTTTCGGCAATTCTTATAATTGATGGTCCTCAGGTGACTGGTAGAGCAATTTGAGGATATGTTGTGAGTAAATACACAATTTCACTGGCTTTTCTTAGGAGTCGAAGGCAGTTTTTCTTATGAGTACGTTCTTTAAGCGTAAGGCACTTTCGTCCAAACAGACATCGCTCCTTAAGCGGCACGGAGGGTTGATTGGGCAGGGGAATAGATTTTTGTACGTTTAAAGGGGTGGCGGTCAAGAATAACGATAGCTCTGCCAGCCGCTAGCTGCCAACTGCTCACGCGCGCAGAATAGCCCGCCCTCACCCATTTATGAAATCGAGAAAAAAGATTCAAACGTCACTTCTTTTCATTGAAGCTCGTTTCCTACATTTATTTTTGAAGCTTGCATAATTCACATGCTGAATAGACACAAAACTTCCTATCGCGAATTTATCACTATGCGATTGCTGATTAGTTCCATTTTAAAAAATAGCAGAAATCTTAACATAAAGCTTACATGAAGAAAACAACGTTTCGGGCACTTACTGCTACTTAATGTGGTGCCTGCGTAAACTCGTCCGCTGCTGGAGAGATGTTACCCGTATACCGTTTATTGACACCCGGGCACTCAAAATGCCACTATTGCCAGCTATCGTTATTCTTGACATATACCCCGTTTAAAGCAGTTCTTATAACTGTTCTTAGGTGGCACGTAGGGCAGTTTGAGGGTACGTTGTGAGTAAATGCTTAACTTCGCTTTTTTTCAGTGAGAACAGTAAGATATATTCTTGGGATATATGTCCTTTGAAGGCGATGTCCCGGAAAAATTTCGCTTTTCGTCTTTTCAACTTTCCGGAGCCTTTTCGTCATGCTGAAACCATATCTGCGCTTCCACAGTGCATGAAAATGACTAAAATGAGCTCTATTCGATGCTCCCCAGAACTGCGTTCGCTCAAAACTACGTGTGGGTGGGCGGGTCTAGAAGAGTTCTGGAGAGGATTTTAGGCCTTCCAGGTGTGGTTTTTCGCTCCAAACTTCATTGATACATTATTTGGAGAGTCTACTATTGCACCACTGCAAAATCTCAATACGGCTTTGAGGGACGATGTCTTTGAGCGGCATGTAGAGCATTTCGTCGCTCAAAAAATATCGATTTATTACATTTGCCTAGACCTCGCCAAATATTGCCACAAAATAGCGCAAGAGTATTCAGCAGTCATGGTTTTTGGGGGTGGGGTCTCTTTTCGTAGTAAGATTCCATAATTAATTTGACGAAATCCTGACTTGGAGGGCTTTTTGACAAGTTTTAAGAGAACTGATTTTGTTGCTGTCGAAATTGATTATGAGAGGAAAGCTACGTTGTTTGTAGTATACACGTTATGGATGTCCTCCTGCTTCCAGAATGATGTGTATTCTATAGCGATCTTTCATGAATGTATTGAGAGAAACTGGATGTAGCTTAGGTTGGTCTTTTTATTATACGAATGAGTGTCCGTGAGAGGCAGGGAGGGGGGGGGGATTCGGAAAAATCGTGGTAATTGAAAAAAATTTTTTGCCATAATCTCGCATGGTCATCTTAGGGCTTTCGCAAGACCTTGAATGATTTGTGATGTTTATGCCCCTCATGCAGTTCTCCTTTATGATATACTTTTCAGAAAATGTTCTCAGAAAGAAGTAGGAAATTTATGTAGAGATATTTGTTCCGCAACTATACCTAATACTGCATCTGCCCCGAATCTTGTGATATTAGGTTATCAAGAAAATAATGTCGTTTTTTATTTGCTTGCTCTAACAAAGCAACCAGACTCAACCCTACAAAGGGTAATAGGTACTGTTCGATAGAGCAAAGCAAGCTCTACAAGATGCCCTTCATGATTTTGCGCCATGCTCGATCCACGGAAAGTTCGAACTCAAAATCTGAAGATTTTCAAATGACCAAAAAATCGAAAAAAAATCAGATCTTCGTCCAAATAACTTCTACGGATCTCCAACTCACACACGTCAATACTTCCGATATGTGAAACCCATATGTGCAGTTGCTGTATTTTTTTCTTGACTAGAAACTGAGAAAACGAAGATTTTCATGTTTTTCTAAAAGCAATGCTGAGCCGTTTTTGCATGTGTGATTCTATACTACAAGCCTAGGTAAGTATAGCTGTAGATTTGCAGCCCATTCCGAGCGGTAGTTTTCGAGAAATATCGAAATCAGCTTTGTTCGTTTCAGTTTCAGTGCTAAAAGCAGCATTTCTCGAAAACTTTGCAGCCCATTCCGAGCGGTAGTTTTCGAGAAATATCGAAATCAGCTTTGTTCGTTTCAGTTTCAGTGCTATAAGCAGCATTTCTCGAAAACTACCGCTCGGAATGGGCTGAAAATCTACAGTTATACTCAACTAGGCTTGTAGTGTAGAATTACACATGCAAAAACGGCTCAGCATTGCTTTTAGAAAAACATGAAAATCTTCGTTTTCTCAGTTTCTAGTCAAGGAAAAAACAGCAACTGCACATATGGGTATCACATTTCGGAAGTATTGACGTGTGTGAGTTGGAGATCCGTAGAAATTAATTGAACGAAGATCTGATTTTTTCCGATTTTTTGGTCATTCGGAAATCTTCAGATTTTGAGCTCGAACTTTGCGTGGATCGAGCTTGGCGCAAAATCATGAAGGTCATCTTGTAGAGCTTGCTTTGCTCTATCGAACAGTACCTATTACCCTTTGTTGGGTTGAGTCTTGTTGCTTTGTTGAAGCAAGCGAATAAAAAACGACATTATTTTCTTGACAACCTAATAGTTAGTGTGATTCAATCCAGCCTCACATTTTATATGTAATTTAATATGCAGTGTTCTCACTGAGCCAAAAACTAGATTTTTTGGCTACTTGTCACATTTCTGCATTTCTAACTTATTCCGCTGCTAAGAATTGTCATACAATACAATAAAGTTCAACGAGTTACTGATTTTTAGGACAAATCGGCCGTTTTCAGCACTCTTCGAAAAAAAAATGACCTTTATCCTTCCACCTGAATTTATGCTGACGTGATCACTAAATGTGCGTATATATACAAAAACTGTGCTCGAGGACCGAAACGAAGGGAAAAACAAGAATTTTCAGCATTGAGCCAAATTTGCGCCAGCATGCGATTTTGGTATGCGCCCGCTCGCGCTGCTGACGTGCTCCTCTCTTCAGCTGCTTCCCGAAGGGCATGAGCATGATGTACAATGATTGCTCAGGTTGTCCAATCTCACCCAGAAGTATAAAATAGGGAACAAAGTTAATAAACTAAACACTTTGTCTAGAATAATTTGAAGGCTCGCGGATACTCGACTAAACTTCTGATTTGGTGACAACCGGCACATTTACGCGTTCGTGACGGCCTCTAGCACAGAAACCACAGATTAAAGAGGCGGAGTCAACACGCACCGATTTCAGGAGCAATATCTTGGTTTCGAGCCTCATTTGCAGCAAAACTTGCGCACTTAGTTAAAATGTCACTGTACCGTAGGAGAATTTCATCATTTTACATTTCATATGTAATTTGATACGTACTGTTCTACTCAATAAATAATAAATTAGTATGTACTGCTTTACTTGGGCAATGCCTCCAAGTCAATTCACCGCTGATCTTCTTACATAATCTGAACATTAAGCTGTAGCTCCAAATATGATATGATTCTCGTGAAAAGCTTGTTTTTTGAAAATACTTTCTTCTTTGTTCAATGACCCTATCTTAATACAGAACAATGCAAATTATAACTTCATTATGATTCTGAGGAACGATGTGCAACCTTCATGAGCAGAGGAGGTGATCAAGCTAAGGTAGATGCAAAAATGCTCTGCATTATCTTTGGGAGATCAGATGTATTTTCACAAACAAATGCTTTTCCAACCGGCAACGACTCTTTGAGCCTGAAACAGAAATATATTCAAAGTATCGCAAAATTGAATGCTTACCTAGCTGCTTGTTCGCCAAGAGAACCAATCAATATTATAAATGAGCGGACATCTTCATTTTTGTTCATGGCCCTCACTAATTCTTTGGGCGATATTCCATATCTATCCAAATTTGCGTCAGAGATAAGAACAACAAACTTCTCGTCGCAGTCTTTCTTTTTGCTCAAATACTGAACCGCATCTTCCAGACCCTCAACCGTAAAGTCACCGCTGGAGCAAAACTGAAGTGGTAGGGAGAGATTACATCCGGCAAAGTATTCTTGAAACCACGATAAACCTGTGTATGAGCTAGCATCTGCTTTAGAATGTCCAGTCGTTCTTTATTGTTTTGCGGATAGCGTCCTTCTTTAACGAATTCTGTGCAAGGCCCATCTCCAGAGTGTCCAGTGATGTCATACTGAAACCCCATAATTCTCTAACGAGGAGAAAAATCAAATCAAACCCACAATGATCTTGTCACTTTTGCCTTCGAATGACGTCATGACCATGAGAGCTGCTTCAAGAGATTTGTTCAGCCTTTTATCATAACCATTGAAGCGATACATAGAACCAGACACATCGAAACAAAGTCTCATCCTCTTTGGCTTCATCTGCGGTGTTCCCGGTTCAGGGACCTTATCTATGCGCCGCCTAGAAATCACGACTGTGTTCACTTGCTTAGCATGTTCAAAACTGACTTGTAGATATTTCTCTCGCCAGTAATCCCCTCAATAAGCTTCCCATCATCAAGGTCACCGGTAGTTTGATGACGAGCCCACTGACGCTCTTTCTCCTTCGCTTCTAGCTGCTCAACAATGGATCGCAAAAGACTAGACTGCTTTTCAATTTTATTCCAAAGCGCCATGTACGCATCCGCGTCATATTCAGACATAGCGATTTCCTGAATTATCGAATCATTAACTCGCAAACAAGACAGAATGAAGTTCTGATAGCATGACTGCATATGGCGTTTACCTTGAGTTTCTTTTGATATTCAGCCTTTGCGATCTCTCTAGCTTTTCGTAATATATGCTCAGGAACTTGTCGTTTGGCTGACTCAGGCATTTGATGCACTTCATGTCCTGCGTCCAGTCTACATAATTACCGGTGACATTTAAGGTTTCACGAAGCAGTGTGAAAAGGATTGATCAGTTCTTTGCCTTCACAGAATCAAACATTGCGATACCAGAGTCTAGAGAATTCACCTGAATGGCCCTCCTACACCGCCCAGACCGGCGGTACTATACCCTCCAGTTCCTCCCATCCACTGGTTTCCTCCGTGATGTGGAGCATTGTTTGGGTCGAATTTTCCAATTTTTGGATCCAGAAGCTTTGAGACGTCAAAACTCCCATCTTCGTATTCGATCCGCAGGTCGCCATCTTCGTTACCTTCAAGACAGAACTTGATATAATTTCGCATTTGGCTGGAAAGCCTACCTCCTACTAAGCGCTTCCATTGCTTATACGATTTCCCCAGTGTTGTCTCAGATAACTCGAAGGTACGCACTCCTCCACTTGCGTCAATGGTGAGCATTTTGTCGCTGTTGTACGGAACCAGCACGAAAGGGGTTCGCGCAATGGTTGCCAACCAAGACCCAAACAAAATTCTTCCGACGCGAAGAGTATCGGCGCTACTCACCCATGATAGCTGTGATGGAGTGGACAAGGAACTGGGACATACTGTCTGAAGTTATTGACAGTATCTATCACTTCCAGAAATCCAGCAATGTTGTGCAGCTCCGCACCTGACGATGTAGTGTAAACTGAGATAATACGTACTTCTGATATCTTTCTGTTTCCTTCCTGCTAGAAATGGACATTTTATGATGACAGCTACGTCATCACTTAAATGCAATCCCCTTGCCATATTTTGAGTTGTGGTATTTAGAATGGTTTGCATTTCTGTCTTGTCTGAATTGTCTTTGCATCAAAGAATTGGAAAAAAATGAAAAGAATGTCTCAAAATCCAAACATCTGCGCTAAACTTCAAATTAGCCGAGATAAGCATAAGTTCTGTTATATTCCCTCATCAAGTATGATTGACTTCTTTCATCAGTGATGATGCTAGCCTTACTTAGAAGACGCAGTGTTCACAAGGTATCAAGGACATCGACGGCAGTGGCGGTCCCAGGATTTCCGTCGCGGGCGGGGGGGGGGGGGGGGGGGGTGGGGCGGCAAAAAAAATTTTCCAATGAAGATGCGACGGCGAAAAAGCAAATATATAACATTTCTTCAAAGCTTTCCCTGCCGCTTATTGTCTGTAGGCCACAATATGGACAGACTTGTACGAAAAGTAATTGGATGAACTCCTTTCCCGAAAGGAAAGACCAGTGACATCAAAAAGACATATCGTTCATAGTTCAGATTTAGAAGCGTCGTAAAATCCATTGAAGATAGACGAAATTTTACCTTCTTTTACTGCTTCTTGAGGCACCTTCCACTTAGGCAAGGCTCTAACAACCACTCCGTCACGCAACGTCAGAATACTTTTCTGGGAGTCCATGAACTTGGCCGTTTCTTGGTCTGACAAATACTGCGGCCTACGGGCATCTACCACTTCTTTGGGGATTTGGCGGACAACTCCAAGTAGTTGTGACCGATCCTAATCAAAATTTTTTTACTGTAGTTATCAGAAGTAGTAGTAAGCAGAAGTACCACTGAAAATGGAAATCCATCGGTTTTGAGATAGTAGAAGTTTTCGGAAGAGAGATATAATGTTCCACTCTGTTTAGAAATGCTATCCAGATCAATGGGTATAGTGCTAGAGAACCGAGTATCTCGACATTCCCACTTGTTGTCATTCTTCGACAGTAGACTAACTTTTCCATTCTAAACATAAGATTCTGATGCTGCCTGTCTCATGCACTGACTATACTGCGCCGTTGCGCTATAGTTTCATAGATGATGGTAAGTTCAATTCCCCTGTGGTAGCAACTTCTGAAAATTGGCGTAAAATGCCAATGTGCACCCTGCGGTCATTTTCCCGCGCACGCGTTGCCATAGGGTGTATGCCTTTCTGAACGGCTTCGTCCTAGCGCTAATTACTCTGTCCGGGCGGCGCTGATTACTCTGCCTTTCTTATAATCTATCAGAGTTTTCAAATCTCTGAGCATTCCAAAGCAAGCGAGGCACACACATAACGATAGTGACGATGTTTGAATTATGAAGACAAATAGTTGGAAAAGTATTTTTTACTGGCCTTTCGTGATTTCTTCGTCCTTCCCACTATTCAAAACACCATGAAGTCTGCACGTATAAGCTGAAGAATTTACCTTAGCCGACCACGTATAACATTTTTGAGTTTCAAGGGCAAAGACGTCTCTAACGACAGCATAGCTCTCGCCTACCCAAGCGCCGCGGCAGCGCCGACCAATCAGAGGCCGCGCATTAGGCTGCTAACGCTAGCGGTTCAGAAGGGCCGTCTCCCGTTGCCATACTGTATCAAAGGTCGAACCTATGGGTAGATGCAGTTGCTTGAAATACGCAGGCACTCGACATAACTCTTTTCTGTCTTTTCTAGCTTTCTCGACGCTGAAACCATACACAGGATCTGTAACGCATGAAAGTAGCAGAAATTGGGATGTCTCAGAGCCCCCTAATATTCAGTGTGAAGATTAGTTTGTCGCGAACCGAGATGAGGCTTCAAGCTGAATTATATGCACTTTAAACCCAAGGGGGGGGGGGCCACTTAGATGGAAATTGGTCACAAGATTTTGGTCAGACTTTCACTTCATTGTAGTCATACTCTAAAAACTCAACTCTGCCGAGGCACTGTCTTCAGGACCTTCTATGTAACTCTATCAACCCGACTGCAATTGCGCGAAGAGCGAAGGCGCAGGGCGCGATACTTCAGAACCCTGATATGTAACTGAAGAAACTCGCCTTTGATTTTGTGACATACATATCATTCTCTAGGTGCAGCACGTTAACGAGTTCTTCTCCTAAACTCATCAGAGTCACATTCCCATTGGGATTGAAACGAAAAATTTGAGTTCCATCACGTCCAAAAAGTACAGGACTTTCACCACGTACAAGCCGATACTCGCCGCTATCAAACACTGGAAGAAGAGATCATGAACTCTTTGAGGGCGCATTTTCCACTTAAGTGGCAAACACACATTTAGCAACACTATCCAGCGCCGAGTATTCCAACTTGACATTTTGAAGCACATTTCTTTCTAAATCTACCAAACAGATTGAATTTGTCTGAAATGAAGAATAGTGATGATCGAGTATCATACGCAACATACGACACAAAATGACTCACCACCTCTTCGTGGACCAAAACTCTACGACTTCCGTAAGAAGAAAGTTTGATTCTTGGTTGGAATTTGATGAGATTTCTACGCAAGTTGAACATTGCAGAAATATCTAGTTCGTGAACCTGTCATCTTCTATCGTTGTTGGGCTGCACTTTGAGTAAAAAGTGCAGCTCTACCTGGTCAGCTTCATTCAAGTTTTTGATAACATAAAGACGGGGAGGATTGACGGTGGCCACAACGAGTGTATTCCCTAACATAACTCCATCAGAGCATATGTTCACGTCAAGCATAGGGATCTGCCAAACACATTCCTAAAATCATCAATAGAGATGGCCTTCTACACACATTATTGAAAAGAGGGGATTTTTCTGAGCGCGAGCAAAAATTCCGTAAGGAGTTGTGAGATAAAAAGAACAAGGGTAAGTACGACTACACCCACCTGTTCTGTAAATTCCTTCGCTCGCATATGTTTTTTGAGAAGCCTTAGTGAGTTGTGTTTCACGACAGCTCCATCCTGAATTAAGCTTCATCTTAAGAGACATTAAATCATGTGAATAAAGTCCACACTTTAGTTCACTTACCATACGAAATCATGCATTGAATGTAATCAGCTCAAAATTTTTTATTTCCGCGAGTTTCGTTTATGAATACAGCGATATATTATTAGGTGGTGCAAAAGTAATGCGCGTTTTGCTAGTTCTCACTTAAACTTGCTATAACTTCCTAAAAAACCGACACTTTTTGTGCGGTAAAGACCATCGGAGGCATCAAAACTTTCTCAACACGCACATCCACTTACACTCATATCACAAACGGGCACAAAAATATGGATCGATATGCAAAAAAAGTTTCTTTCTGAAGTCTCGTTTTTAACTGATCATAACTCCCTTCAAAAAAGTATGAATGATAGGTAGCCTGTCTGGTAGTTACAAGCCAGTAGTACAAAAAGGTTGGAAAGGTGAACAAAGACGATTTGCGAAAAGGAAAAAAATTATAATTCAAAATCATTCCTTTTTCGACATTTTTTCGTAGGCCTCAAAATCCCAAAATATGAAGATATTTGATATTCCGCGTACTGAACCGCCAAACATTTCTGCAGAAACTGTCGACAGGAAGCCCACTCTTACGCTTACGGAAATGGAAATGGGCAAAGCCTTGGCGATTGCCCTCTTCAAAGGAAATTTATGGGTCACAGGATGACCAGAACCATCACTCAGGTTGAGCCGCCGAAATCTCAGTAATAATTTCTAAAAAATCAGTAAAATGTGCGTAACGTAGACAATTTCCATTGTATACAGTAGCTGAATTTTCTAAAGAATCTCTTTTTTCGCGCTCGAATTCTGGCCAAAAAAGTAAGTGAAATAAGTGTGTTTGTATGAAGCTCTATTAATTTCCAACGAATGATGCTAGAAGCTCCGTCTAGCAACCATTAAATAGAGCCTGAAAGTAGCTTTTCAATAGTGTGCTAGTTTTATGCAATAAAGGGTAATGGAGAAAAGTTGTACTGAAACAAGGGCTAAAAAAACGTGCATTACTTTTGCATCAACCTAATAGTTTATGCATGATGTATCTATTTTCAGGGGGAGGGGGGAGGCTGTGACAAAATTTAGCCACGCCGCCAAAAAATTGTTTTTACAAGGCTAATTTGAATTTTTTTCAGAAATATTCTATCAACAAGTACAAACAAGACATTTGCGCGCATTTTAACCGTAAACTTCCAAGAAAATCCGCTACCTACTTCCTACGCCACTATTTACAAATAAGAACTAAGAATAGTCATGTTTAAAATGTTACGTATAATTCGGGTCGAGTGGCTCAGCAGTTTCAGGAGTCGCTATGACTAGTCCGGCTGATTCCGCCTAGTCAAAAAGCCCCCCCCCCCCCCTTCCATCTCTCCACCCTCCCCCCCCCCCCGGAACCGGAGACTTGGTGGCGGAGCACCCTGGGAGACCAGAGCACTGAGTCGTAACCAGCTGACCCAGGCAAGTCACTATAAAGGTTGGCACGCATTCAGTAGCCTCTCCGACCATGAATTAAAATGCGTTCAAAGTATGCATGGATTAACTTGCTTGCTCGTTTACACCCCTCACTCACTTATAGCACGTATTCTGTTAAAAGAGCAGGTCAACCTCAATCTCTTCAGCTAAGTATTTTCACTCCTCTCTCTGCAAAACAGAGGTTCACTGCAAAAAGACTTGTTCTCAATAAAAAAGTATGAACGAGCTTTCAATGCTATCTAGGCCTATACCGCCAATCTGCGCAAGATCCTTGTTTTTTTTTTCTAAATCAGTGAGATAAATAACTGTAGCAGTGGCGGACACGGGGGAAGAAATATTTGAGGATGGTTTGCATGGATTTTCATATCATATGACAGATTTATTGTTTTTGAACAACCTGGATGTTATAAATTTCATGAAATTTAGTTTAGCCCTAAACAGTTTTTCGGGGCTGCAAGCTTCCCAACATTGTTTTCGCAGGAGTGTTGTCCACAATCTCTACCTCGCCTTTTCTCTCCTTCCTCCCACTGTTTCTGGAACAACCACTGATAGTACCCTACTTATGCTGCACGATACTCTTAGGCAATATGCAGCACTGTATATAGTTCTTTGGTCGTGCAGTCCTTCGAGGTGTCTGTGCTGTTCGATTTGAGAAAAAATCCCCTTGGTCCTATTCTCGTAAAATTAGGGTAGTACGCTTTGCAACAGTTTTACGCGGGCACATGTTGCATCAAGATTCGTAAAAAGTCATGTTTTGCCGCGCGCAGTGCACTAAAAACTACCAATTCGCCTGAACATGGGGAGTGTGCCTTGCAACAAGCTGATACGTGATGTATCAAGTTGATTTAAAAGTTTATTAGCACCACTCTCCAATAGCCGCAACTTCTCTTTCTTTCAAAGGTTTTGCTTGGCATTTACTTCATTAGAAAGATAAAGTCATGTTCTTCCAAACGGATAAGAGAAGATCATTCGAGCTTATTACAAGCAAACTAGCCAGAATTTGATAGACTTTCGAATAGAGTTCGGAGCGGTCTACTTAAAAGCAGTGTCCGTACAAAAAGTCGATTTTGAGATTTTGGCCTTCCAGGGCCTATTCGCTACGCTGAATCCAAAAATCCACGCTGGAGAGCGCGAAAACGGTGAGAAAGGGCTTCAACGCAGGAGCGAATTCAGGAGGTGGGCGGGATCTTCCCCACTGTAAATTCAGCTTCCAGAGCGATCTTCTCGATTCCGCTAGCCGCCCTGAAATCTCCACAGGTCAAGAGCGGATGCGTGACTTGAAATCGGAACCGAGATGATCCTGGAAGCTGGGAGCGTGAGTTCACAGTGGGGAAAACCCCGCCCACTTCTGATTTCCCTCCTGCGTTACAGCCATTTTTCACCGTTTTCGCGCTCTCCAGTGTGGAGTTTCGAATTCAGCACAGCGAATAGGCCCGGGTAAGCACAGAATCTCAAAACGACTTTTTGCCCGGACAATGCCTTCAAGTTCCTCTTCTTCCTAGCTCAAACATGTACTGATCGCGCGTCCCTATGGAAGTTTACGGTTATCGCGGAAATATACAAAATGGCGAGATTGGTTTCTTGGCGCTTTCCCTGAAGATCATAACTTTCTTAGAAGTCAATCAGCTAAAAGAAGGTCATAAAACCAATGTGTATGACCATTTCACATTGTTATGTTTAGATTTTGCGAAGCGTTTTTGAATTAACTAAAGAAACTCAAGTATTTATAACCAGTTGATGATAGACAGCTCTAAAGGTGACCTTAGAGAGGACATGATTAATTCTTACAAAACTGATGACATGCAATACTTTTGGAATAGAAAAAAGTTATCACTTTATAAGATGGTGCAAAAGAGAGTCAGGTTGGTTTGAAAGGTCGTTCCGAATGATCTTGAGAAAAGAACCGCGTCAAAGACAACAAAGAGAGTGGTCCGCGCAGCAGTGGCCTTTTGGAATCTGCGGCATACTTACCATCTATTATTGAACAGTTATGGTTCCCACGCAGCAGGAACGAATGCTCAGAAGATAAGTTACCTTTACTCTTATATATTCCTCGCTGGAGTCCACCGTATACGGTGCATCACTATCGTATAATCCCCAATGCCCAATGGAAGAAGCAGGATCGAGAGGAAATCGGTAGGAGAGAAAAACGCGATTCGCGAGTCCTTCGACGCCTATAAGCAACTGCACAACTGACAACCTTTGTAAAACACGTTGCATTTTAGCACTGTCAATAAGACAACTTTATTGGTGACTTCTATTCATTGAGTTGGTTGATACTGTACCAAAAGGTATTCCATGCTTTTGAAACACTTCCTCGATCGAATTTATTGTGTCAGTGGAGAATGCATCGAAGTCAAAGACATTTCTTATGACAGCAGTCAAAGAATCGTCTGGAAATTTCTGCAATGAACAATAATTATTAACGTATAAGACGCACGTGATAGATAGATCTCACATTGATATGTTTCACTATATTGACAAGCTCCCTAGTAGAGTAAGGGTAATGCAGTACTCCCTCATCAGCCATTTCCCTGAGCTCTGAGAAAGCAGCCATCAGTTTCAAAAGCGTCGCTTCCTCTACTTCTGTAACAATAGGTAATTGGAATCAAACCAGAAGGCTCCTCTCCTTTTCCTTTTCGAAATGGAGAATGGCAATCTCAACTAACCAGGGCCATATTTTCTTAGCATATTGAGCTCGCTTTCACGACTTGGGTTGTCCACCATATGAACAGAAAAAAGATCGCCCAGGACACCAAACAAATCATTTCCTGAAAAACCCTACTCTCAGGAAAGAATACCAAGCTTCCTCTAGGAAATCAGATTTGGAATCCGCAATTTGAAGGTGCTTCTGATAATATACATCTCTCTGGAGTTTGCCACGAGTTGCCATCTCCCTTGTCAGGTACGTACAAGGTGGCCGGAGAATAAGAGTGTAACTGACCAAGGAACGGAAAGCCTGGCCTGTTAGCGAGCATGATGATGCGAAAATCTGGATGAAGTGGTATGCATCGATCATTTGAGGAAGACTGAGCAGGCTGTATGCGTCTACCATCTCCAAGCAGCAATGTTCCTGCAATGCGGGATTTCAGGACTTGCGAAGCTAGTAGCAAACACTTTTCATTATTGACTGAAGGCTCCGGAGTCTTTTATACAAACGTCAAAGATCCGAGCTATTCACTAGGAATCCAAGCTGGATCCCCACTTACCAAAACGCAATCACTAAGGGCCGCATGCACTAACATCCCCGCGGGGAGGGGATCGCAGCTCAAAAGAAAGCTTTATATTTCGAAACTCCAGATACCTGGATTTCAGGTTGTGTACCTGTCCGTAAGTAATCCTACTACCCTTCACTATGAACATGTTGAAGAGGAACGAGAACCTGTACGAACCGCATTTTCCAGCTTTAGTATGATCCCTGATGATCCCCGGCGCTTTTCTTTGAAGTCATTTTTCTTTCTCCGAAGTTAACGAACAACCTCCAAAGTTGTGCAGATTATCTAAACCGACAGTGCTAAGCATGTTGCTGATAAGAACAAATGATGTTTTGAGGTCATGAAATTTTTGGTGATCCACAGGTCGAAATTTGAGGTTTCCCGAAAAATTCGACTTTTCAAAAACTCATTTGTTCTCATCAGCAACATGCTTAGCACTGTTGTGTTAGATGTTCAGTACTGGAAGGTTTTCGTTAACTTCGGAGAAAGAAAAATGACTTTAAAGAAAAGCGCCGGGGATCATCAGGAATCGTCTGCAGAGGTTCACTGATTCTATTATTGTAGGCCTACTCGTGCTCTCCCAGTGCTAGCCTTAGAACTCACACAATGCTGACGATCACGAATAAATTACAAACAACTACCTATTATAAAAGGTTTTCTATGTTGAATCTGTAGTTTTGGGAAAAAGTTCTGTGTAGCTTTGGGAGAAACTTCCTTAAAAAAGAATAAATGCGGACTTGAAATGGTTACTAAGTAAGGCTTAGTAGCCGTTTCAAAGGACAATGAATACCTTGAACTATATGTTTGAGTAAAATTCTTTTGTCAAAACCCTGACCAAGCGACAATAACCCAGTCATCCTCATCGCTTACTACGCATGTAGTTATCAGCTATAATTTTTTCTGCAGAAAATTGCAACATAGAAAAAACCAGCACTGTTTGAGCTACTAGATTATTCGAATTATCCGAATAGCCGAATATTCGGGCAGGTATGATTATTCGAATATTCGAATAATCATGAATATTCGATCACACGTTCATTACGTTCGTTCAATATTCGATTGTTCGAATATCGAATATTCGACCAACCCCATTTATTCGAATATTCGTTCGTTCGATGTAAATGTAGCATTATTCGGATATTAGAATTTGAATGATCTGAAAATGACAGATCGAATAATAATCGTTCGTTCGAATATTCTTCAGAAGCCGGTTATTCGATATTCGTTCGTTCGATGGAATTGCGGCATGCCGCCTCTGACGGTGGGAGAGGAATCGCAAGCTCGTCCGAGCTCGTGTAAGAGTTGCTTGCGCGCACGGGTTAAGAGGCAATTTTCTAGGCAGGGGTTGCATGCTGGGCGCTCCGACCTCCGACCTACTCCATTGTCGTTTTTGGGGTGCAAGCAACCTTCCGTATAGAAATTTCGAGATGTTCAATTTGCCGAGCCACTGCCTTTAACGCTGTTATTAACAAAAACAGTGGGTACGCTACAAAACATTACATATAGCTAAGAAATAAGAGAAAATCCGCAACTCTGCGTTTTCTATCAATTTGTGAGTACTCATAACCTATTTCGAAGACAGTTCGCGGTATGAGCATCATAAATTGAATAGAAAAACGATTTAAGCCACGTATTTCTGTGGCAAAGAAGTGCGCTTGCAAATTCGCCAAGCATGCTGACCAGTGGCGTAATCACGATTTCCGTTCGAAGAAGGAGGACAAGAATTTTTGTCGTATGAAGGTGCATGGCTTAGCCACACACTCCGAAAATTCTTTGAGATGTTTCCAGAAACTTTGCGGGCCCTTATCCCCGAAATCTTAGGAGAGGGGAGCGGCGGGAGCAAGGCCCGGCACAGATCGTCTGGAAGCAGGCTGGACTTCGTTTTTGGAGCAAAAAGCAGAGGGGATTTTGTTTTTGACCAGTCGGGGCCGAGCACAGAGAATAATCGCCATTTAGTCGAACACAAGCTTTTCGGACAGGTTATCACACGATTGACATGCTCTATCGTGTATGACGAAAAGTGCGCGCGATTTGAAAGCAAGGCTAGAATAAACAAATTGCTTGTTTACAGCGCACACAAAATCATACGGCACCAAAATTGGACCGTATACTTGAAAAATTATTTGAGGAAGGATTATGTAGAAAGATTTGAAAACTTATGTGAAGTAATACCTTTTCCAAAATTAGATCGTCTCCAGACGGCCACCAGACGATCTGAGATCGTCTGGAGCATATATTTTCGTCACTTCACATAAGTTTCGGATCTTTTTAGCATGGACGGATTCCCCGGCCAAGAATCTATCCCTGAGCATAGAAACATTTTCATATCACTCTCAGTCCGTCGTTTTTTACCCTCTCCTTTTTTCGAAAATCGTCTTATCAGATATCGCGCCCTAGCGTCAACTTTCCTGCATCCTCTCCTTTTGAATTTTCATTCTCAGTTTTAGCTTTTTTCAATATTTTAATGATTTCTTCCATTCTTCTTTCTTCTTCTCCTCCTTTCTTCAGCTCGTGACCTATTTTGATCGTTTTGTTACTATGTAAGGCTTTATGAAACAAAATTCTGTGGATTTCGTGGTTTTTATTTGAGAGTTTGACCCGGAGTCGCGCGATTCTCAGCTCGAAGCAGGTAAATGGTTTTGTCAAGAACCACATAGATGAGTATGCAAGGATTCACCAACAGGAGGGGGGGGGGGGGTACAGCAAGGGTCAAAGGGAACTTCGTAAAATTTTCGAAGGTCAGAGGGGACTTCGTCGTCAAAAAGCCTAGAAACGGACTCGTGCCGGGCCCTGGGCGGGAGCCATGCCCCAAATTTTTTTACAAAGCTAATTTGAACTTTTAAAAATTTTTGAGAATTATTTTATTTACAGGTAAAAACAATTCACTTGCACTTTTTTATAATACATGAAAGTGACTTTCAAACTCGGTACGCTACTGATACTGATCGATAAGAAAATGAAAACTGCATTGGAAATTAGAAAGGAATAAATCCGCATTGTCCCTCAAGGACACTCTTATCCACACTAATTACGCTGTGAATACTGTGGAATTTGTGGGGTAGGGATTTCGCTTTGAGGGCCGCAGGCACTAACATCCCCGCTGGGGAGAGAATCGCAGCTTGAAAGAAACTTCATATCCTGAAGCTCCAGATATGTGGATTTCACGCTGTCTACCTATCCGCAAGTATTCCCACCATCCTTCACTATAAACAGAACGAGCGAAAGCAGGAAGCTGTATAAGCCGCGTTTTTCAGCTTTTTGTATGATCTCCTGATGGTTTCGCGGTCGACCTTTTCTCCAAAGTCATTCTCTTCCTACGAAGTTAACGAAGAAACGAAGAAAACCTTAGTGCATGCGGCCGTAAGTGGGTCTAACTGAAACGAGGTATCGGCGTCGGGAATACTTTGAAAGGTGGAAATCGCTACTGCACTTAGAAATAAGATCAAATCATGCATTTTGCATATTTTGCGTCTCCAAGAGCACAGCTTGCGCTTTGAGAAAAATAAATTCTGCTAAATATGCGGCCAACAAGGATATTTGGTGGTTGTGTCCAATCTTGAAGCATGTAGATGGGTCTTGAAACGCTGTTTTGAGACTGCCTTCAAAATCAGCTGAGCGATTCTCCGAAATTAGTTTCAAACGTTTTTTTTTTCACTAAAACAAGCACTATTTTATATTTATAAGCAAATATAGATATCGATCGAATTTCCAGTTTTACTTCCCAGAACAACATAGAATCTGTAACAACTGTATTCGGGCTGGCAACCTCACAAATCAACGATCCCGACTATCCTTCAATGTGCAAAACTTTGCGTAAAAAAGCTTATACCTCAGTTAAAGCAATAGCTACGCAGATTGCAAAAGCAGATTTGAGATCAGCGTTGCAGATGCATCTAGAAGTCTATGTTTTATTGCGAATGGCCTGGTCATTAATTATCATTTGGTAAGGTACTGACAATCAGGTTGGCTTAGAATCACTCACCGGAATCGAGCAAGCTTTTGAAGAGAGCAATCACATGTAATGGTGCTTTATCAGCTTCATCAACCACAAGGACGTGACCTGCTCTAGCAGCACGAACCAGTGCTGAGTCTTGATATTGCAAAACTCCGTTCTCCACGGTGGATTGCATAGTAAGTGCTTCCACTGTCGTATCCCTGATACCGCAAATTAGAAAAACTAGTTCCTAAGCGATAGTGAGATAAGAACGTGAAGATTCACCGATGCAACTGCATGTACTGCCTAGGCCTTTGAATAAGTTGGAGAAATCGGTCCGTGATCTTGTTCTTCCCCACGCCTTGATTTCCGATTAACAGAAGATGCGCTCCTAGTCTCATATCACGAGCCATATTTTGGATTACACTCATGTGCTTAAACGATACATCCTAGGTATCGTACAGCGGAAATGAAAAGAGAAGCCGCTTCCAAAAGTAGCACGTCACGTTCAAACAATAAACTAACCTCCTTGTTATCGTAAAAAAGAATGTCTGGTATCATTGCCGCATTCCCTTCCTTGTTACGTTGATCCAGCAGATGAGACACGTCGTCAGAGAATTCTGTAAAACAACGCACAAGTTCTTCATTGAAAAAAGCAATTATCAAACCTTCCAGAGTATCCTCGGTAGTAAAATTGGTTTTGTCCAGTTCAGAATAGAAGGATAATCGTACAACCGAAGGAAGGAATCTATAATTCACCAATATGTGTACCTTTGAAAAAGATCCTGCCTACTGGACAATAAATGAGTAATTCTAAACATACTTTGCCAGCGCAGCATTTTCGATGAGATCTCTGAGTTCCCCGCGATGGAGTGAGTCTCTTCTGATAATATGAATGAGCTTACGCACAGATAGTGAAGATGCGATACCACGTAACTGGAATTTAACTCACACATATTACCTTTCTCACAAGTTCAAAAGAGGCAATCAACCCCTGCATCGGTGGATGATCTTAATCGTTCGACGAAGTTAACAAGGTTTGAAACGGTCTCCGCTGCAGCTGTTGGCACGACCCTGCAATGAGCACAAGTGTTTCAAAAAGATGCTTCAGTAGGGAGTTTACAACGACTGAGGATGATCGTATACCTTCCGATTTGCACAAAAAGTATTGCGCATACAGCAACAGATGGCTGTAATATGCCGGCTGCCGAAGATACAAAGAAGTCAGATAAGTATCAGGTTGTCCCATAAGTTTCGTCCATTTGCATTTCGACCGAAATAAGTCATGGACTTCTCATTTCTAAATAGGCTGCTGGGTAGTACTGTTCGATAGAGCAAAGCAAGCTCTACAAGACGGCCATCTTGCTTTTACACCAGCTTTGACACACTCGAGTTTCAAACCGAAAACTAAGAAGATTCAACTGCCCGAAAAATCGAGAAGAAGTCGTAACTCCATCCAAAATAATCCTATAAAAATTCTAACATGCTCGTTTTTTAAACACTATCCATCTAAGGCATTGATATACTCCGTTGCCGTAGTTCTTCCTCGGTCAGAAATCAAGAAAACGAAGATTTTCATGCTTCTGCCAAAGTGATGCTGCGCTGTCTCTATATAGATAGTTGTATACTACTAGCTTGTAGAAGTACAATGTAAATTTTCAGCTCTCTACAAGCATCAGTTTTCGAGAAATATGGATTTGAGCGTAAGGCACCCAACTAAGGCAAGCTATATTCGATAACTAGCTGGCTTACCCGGCTCCGCCGTATCCGGACCAAACTTGGCACACATACACTTCGGGCCCCGGCGGGTGTCACAGTCCGAATACAATATTAGTTTTCAGAATTATCGATTACTTTTATTGATTTTATCGATTTTTTGTAAATTTTGACATGCGAGGCTGGGATTTTGCACAGGGGGGGGGGGGTAATCGAGCATGCTGATTACGAACACAATATTAGTTTTCAGGATCGTCCATTACTTTTATCGATTTTATCGATTTTTTGAAAATTTGAGCTAGGGGGCTGGAATTTGGCACAGGGGTGTAATCGAGCATGCTGATCACCCCCCTTGGGGATCAGCATGCTCGATTACCCCCCTGTGCCAACTCTCAGCCCCCTAGCTCAAACTTTGCAAAAAAATCGATAAAATCGATAAAAGCAATCGATAATCCTGAAAACCAATATTGTATTCGGAATCCCCACGCTCGATTACCCCCCTGTGCGAACTCCCAGCCCCGTAGCTCAAACTTTGCAAAAAAATCGATAAAATCGATAAAAGTAATCGATAATCCTGAAAACCAATATTGTATTCGGAATCCCCATGCTCGATTACCCTCCTGTGCCAACTCCCAGCCCCGTAGCTCAAACTTTGCAAAAAAATCGATAAAATCGATAAAAGTAATCGATAATCCTGAAAACCAATATTGTATTCGGAATCCCCATGCTCGATTACCCCCCTGTGCCAACTCCCAGCCCCGTAGGTGAACTCAGCAAAAAAATCGATAAAATCGATATCGATCGATGACGAAAAGTAGCCTATGACACCCGCCGGGGCCCGAAGTGTATGTGTGCCAAGTTTGGTCCTGATCGGTTCAGAAATGGAATTTTCTATTCGGAACATACTTACATACATACAGACATTCAGCTTTATATATAAGATTCTCGAGAACCAAAGCTTGTAGGGAGCTGAAAATTTACATTTGTATTTCTACGGGCTAGTAGTATACAACTACCTATGTAGGGGCAGCACAGCATCACTTTGTTTGATTTAAACCGATTGAAAAATACGGCAACAGCGTATATATTAGGTCGTTCCGAAAGTAATGTCGCTTTTTTCAAATGAACGCCACCATTCGTGGAATCAACATTTTCAAAAGATCTTAGGAGCATTCGATGCAGCATTTCATCCTCTTTCTAATGGTTTTAATTTCACTGCATAATGTTTAATGAGCTCTCGAAATATTACCAAAATCTGCGACTCATGCTTTTTGCCATGGTCAAGTTCGGCTGTTTTTTCTAATTTTTGTACCAAATCTCCAAAAAAGTACAAGTGGCAGGTAGATAGAGCAAACACTATAGAACACAGAGCAATTTTTTTCCTTAGCTTGCTTCTCAGACTTTCTACAATCAATTTCTCAATGCCATCAAATTCCATATTTAGTCATGTCAAACCTCACAGAACAACAACCGGCAAGCAACTTGGGTATCATTCGATGTAGCTTTTTCTCCTCTTTCTAGCGGTTGTTTTTTGTTTCCGATTCATCAAGTTTTCCGGGATAAAATCTCATAATTCAACCTTTCCAAGGGACCCCAAGGTGTACCCGAAATTTTCGAAAGTTGCTAAACCGAAGCGATGAATGCTCGTTTTGTTTGCAAAATTGTTGCCAAACCATAATCCATCTTTGTAAGTTTTAAAATCCGAAGACTTGTTGGCGTTTGATGCACTTGTGTCTGAGACGAGCCTGTCAAAATTCGGTGGTTCCATCGAAAAATCTGTAAAAAAATTATGACGAGCTCTGGAAAGTAGAAAAAAGTTGTGCTGTTTCCTGTAGGGTTTGCTCCGTCCACCCATTACTTGGACTCCTTCTGAGGTTAGTTATAAAATTTTATAAAATTGTGAAACTTGGCCATCTCAAAAAGCATAGGTCGCAGATATTAACACTTTTCTGAAAGCTCATTGACAATATTGCAACAACTTCATAACCATTAGAAAGAGAATGAAATGGTGCATCAAATGCTACCAGGAACTCTTACACATTTTTGTTCCAAGAGATGTGGCATACGTTTGAAAAAAGCGACATTACTTTTGGAACGACCTAATAAATGTCTTGGATAGATAATGTTTACGCAAGCAAGTTAGATTAAAAGATTTTGTGTACGGAGTTACGACTTTTTCTCGATTTTTCGGGCAACTGAATCTGTTTAGTTTTCGGCTTGAAACTCGAGATGGATCAGAGCTGGTGCTAAAGTAAGACAGCCTTCTTGTAGAGCTTGCTTTGCTCTATCGAACAGTACCTTAACACCTATTCAGAAACAAGAAGCTCATGATTGCGATTAAAAATCAAAACGGACGGAACTTATGGGACAACCTGTTAGCTTCGCTGCTCACACCCTTGCGCTGCTACATGAACTGACCTTTCAGCGAGACTTCAACAAGTTTCGGATTCGTGTAACACATGTTGCATTACGCGAGATTAGATTTTCGAATTCCACAAGAAGTTTTGTCACAGTTCAAGAAAATTGAGTGTTACGTCTAGACTCGTAGATGGAGATAACCTTGTAAAGTTGTGCTAGGCGAATTTGTTTGGGCTATACAATGACAGATCGACAGTACCAATTTTGCGGCAGAACGTCGCGTGTGGTCAAAAGTTGCCATTGCTTTGTACCAAGAAACCAGCGCTTACCATGATGTGTACAAATACAAAGGTAAAGGATATTCGTCGACGACTGCCCCAACTCGTGCAATTACACCACCTTGGGCATGCCTTATTTGTGGGTGCCAGAGTAAGGTAGGTGCCAGACTAAGCGAATATTTTGTTCAGCTTCGTTCAGCTGCAAAAGGCGCACAGAAGTAACGTCGATTCTGCGCGGACCCGCAGCTGAAGCAGGCCTTGGCAGCAGTAGAGATTATGCAGCAGACATTGATTCTGCGCGCCTTCTGCAGCTGAACGAAGCTGAACAAAATATTCGCTTACTCTGGCACCTACCACTGGTGCCTTTCCAACTTGACACTACGCTGCAGTGCGCGGGGACTTGGTAGCTCGCAGCATCCCTGTCCTTTCCCTGTCCTGTTCTGTCCTACTGTCAAGCTGGAAAGGCTGCAAAAAAGCCTGCCCACGGTGGTGTAATTGCACTAGTTGGGGCAGCGTCGACGAATACCCTTTACTTCAGTAAAATTTAGGACTGAATCCCTGTTTTATGTTGTCATGTCACAAGATCCAAGGACTTGAAATTTATCTAGAAATTTGCGTAGGGAGGTTATTTGTTATGCTTATTGCAGATACTGCACTTAATTCACGAAATAATACCGTTTCCTTGACTAACAGCAGGGGGGACTGTCAGGAGGTACGATCGGCGCGAATTTTTCGCGAAGCGACGCTGCAACGTACCTCAACCAATACAACAGCAGCACTGCAATGTCACTTGTGGCATTGAGTCATGTATCTGCCTCCACCCCCACCCCCGTGTTTTTGCCACCGGGAGTCTCTGATATGGGGAGCTCTCTGGGTCCCAAGATCGGGACGCGGCGTGCGCGGCGAAGCGGCCGCCGCGCGCGCCGCGTCCCGATCTTGGGACCCTGACGTGCAGCCAGCAGCAGAAGCTGAATGTTTTTCGCCGAGCGCGAATTCGCTGTTGATATATTCATAGTGCCATCGTATTCGCGCAGAACCGCAGCCGCGCGCTTACTCTGCGCTTTTTGCCCAACAATGAGCATATCAAAGGATGAAGTGACTGCGCGAACTTTGCTGCAAGCCCGCAGAGGGAGTGGTACACATTCGCCGAAAGGTCATCTACAATCGAGTAGATTTTCTGCTTGCAAGGGAATGGTCAGAAGTCGAAGTGGCCAATCCATACAAGGTGCATACCATTCGATGCAGCATAGGATGCTGATTTTACATCTGTCTTCCATATCTGCCGCCCTTGTAGGCGAAGTTATGAGCACCTTTACTGCGAAAAAATCGTGTACAAAAACTGCGAAATTAGTCACATTATTGCTCTTTCAGCTCACCTCTAGGTACGAGTCATATGTAGTGACCTAACTGCACGTTTTGATCCAATACTGAGCCGAGAATGGCCTTGTATGGCCAAGTTAGCACTTTACACGCACAAATTCTTAGCAAAATAATGGACTTCAAAGACTTATAATTTCGTCTACGAAAGCGCTCTGCAGACAAGCAAGACGGATTTAGAGTCAGCGTTTTATGCTGCATCTAATGGTATGCAGCTTGTATGGATTGCCCACTTCGACTTCTGACCATTCCATTGTTAATATGGTGTGCTTGCACAGAAGGTGAAATGCGGTAAAATTTTCGCGTCAACGAATAGCTTCGACTGTGACGCTAGCTAACTGCGCGCGCCAAATGCCGGCAATATTGGCGTGGCTATTCATTCGCGAGCAAATTTCACCGCATTTCACCTTCTGTGCAAGCACACTATATTAAGCGGAAAATCTACTCGACTGTACCTGAAGAGAATGACAATGAAAGATCACTAGTGGCGAGCCGGAACTCTTCCATGATTATATAAAGAACTTTTTTATTCTTCAAAACGAAGGAACGTGGCATTACCCGACCTTTGATATAAGGATATTTCTTACAGCTTAACAAGATTTTACAAGACAAGTTTCTTAATAGCCTTCTGCTAAGAAGAAAGCCAAAGACATCCGGCTCACGCCGGACTTTTCAATTTCAACGGCTCCTCCTCCTTTATCGCTGTTGAAAGCGCGATTCTAGAAGTCACGTGACATCTAGATGGAAGAAAAAATGAGGAGGTCAAAGTCAAAAACGTAACACATTGTAGCATAAGAAAAGCTTCCAACCCACAAACAGCATCTTGGAAATTACTCAAAGGCAGTGTGCCGGCAGATTCGCGCCCGTTCTGAGTGAATCCGTTGTTTGAATTTTGTCTCTTGAGAGGAACTTCTGTGCGTTCTTGAAAGATAGGAACAAAAACAGTTTCTAATAATATAAGTATCTATGTTGTACACGGTACACATCATAAATGAAACTAGTTTTTTTGTTTGAAATCGAAGCAAAGAAAAGTTGCGACGTCACGCATTGTTCGCGTTGTCGCACTTCGTTGCGACTATTGTTCGATTTGTCCTCTATCTCCTAAACAAATATCGGCGGCCACAGCTCTACAAAGTCATTTGAAAAGTAGGCGCTTAGGCCTTTGACTTGATAAGCTTGGGCTAAAATAAAACCTCCTGCGAACGTCAAAAACATCCTTCAAAGCAGCGTGCTGCACCATGTGCAGCACCAGTCCGAAACGTGTGACACGTCCGAAACGTCTGACAATTACAAATCTCAAGCAATGGAGGTCCGCGACGCAAATACCAATTAACACTCGTTAGCGATACGCATGTTTTCACTAAAGATGAACAAAACTCGCAGTACTTACAAGGGAACCGTGTCGAGTCGAAGTGGCCTTTCCGGATGAGACCCATACTGCTTTGAAGAGCATTAATCGATGATTCCAAATCTGCTTCCCAAATCTGCCAAGCGCCCCTGGACGCCGAGTTATGCTCGTTTTTCGGGTCAAAAAAATTGAACGCAAAACTGAAGCAAAATCGCCTAAATTTGCTCAAATGGTCCAGTGTCGAGTATCAGAGCTGTTTATGCAATGGATACATTTTATTTTATATACTAATACTTAACATTGCTTTATCTGAGCGCTGGAAAGATTGTGACAATCAATTTTACCTAAATTTTGCATTCATTTTTCGTTCCGAAAAACGGTCATAACTCGGCGTCCAGAGGCGCTTGGCAGATTTGGAAAGCAGATTTGGAATCACCGCTTAATACTCTTTGAAGCACTATGGGTCTCATTTGGAAAGGCCACTTCGACTCCACACGGTTCCCTTGTTAGTTCTGCCATAGAAATCACAGTGGATAACTCACCCCTTAATGATGTCGCACTTTTCCTCTGGTGTCAAGTTTCGCATTTGAATGAATGGCATGAGACTCATCACAGATTCGTTGAGCCAACGATGTTCTGTGAAAGTAGTATCGCCGATGAGCACGAGACGAAAGCTCGCGGGAATTTTGTATACCCCCCTCAATAAAAAATGAATCAACGAGTGCAAATGGTCTAAGTAACACTGGTTACTTCGAGTTTAGCAAATTTTCATCGTATCCCGTAGACTTTTGGACATTGCCGAATTCCTCCTCTCCAACCAACCGACTACCATCTGGTAAAAACAGTAGACGATGATGGCAAAGTGTTTGTAGCGATTCGAGCGCACTCCAGTGAACCTACAAACACACTCAATGGAATTCTTCTGATCTGATCTCGTGGATAATATATATGGGGGGCGGAAGTTTCTCACCTGAGCCATATTCTCGCACCTAGGTGATGTGCCTGGCAGGCACATCACCTAGGTGCGAGAATATGGCTCGGGTGAGAAACTTCCGCCCCCCATATATATAAATCGCTTATACTCTGCCGTCAAGCGTAGGACATTTCCGATAAAAAGCATATCCTGACCATGTTCATCAACAAGCGAAGCTTGGAGGCAGGGTGCGGGCAGAATTAAGAGCACCTAAGTTTCAATGTACTACAGCACGCTCCCCATTCAAGCCATATTTCGCCGCTCCAGAGGCTGTACTTTGAAACCATGACTGTGGCTACAAAATACCGCTTCTGTAGCGTGAAAATTGCTTTAGATGTTCCAACGTAGCCGCCCCTCGATCTCGATTTAATCTCGTCCTTACCGAGACAGGGAGCCCTGCGGTGAACCGCCGTTGCGACGCTCTCACTGGCTGCAGCAGCGTGTTCCTCCACGTCTTCCTGCTTTGATAACAACGAGAATGGATCAAGGGACGGCCAGAACTTCTGAAGCCATTCGCTTCAGATGCAGTTTCTGATAGCAATCGCAATGTGGATTGCCTGCGGAGCGTTTTAATAATACGCTGGGATGGAGGTGCCCTCAGATCTGCTCGAAGAGTACCTTAAAGGCACCGTCCACCCAAACTGGGGTTGGTTAGATTATGATACCTAGCAGATGCTGGGCCCCCAACTGTATGATTGCCCAACTCGCGCTGCCTGAAATTGCTTCCGAACCGAAAAATTTGCTTCGGAAATCGCTTCAGGCCGCGTTCGCGACGCTGGCTCCTCCATTTCGGAGTGGGCGTGACGTTCGTCCCGCCCATCCGTGCGCGCCCAACCAATCACCGTACCGAAGAAATCGCTCTGCCGGTTCTGAAAACGGGGGTTTTTCGTGGTTTTCGCGGATTTTCAACTTGATATTCGGAATCAGGGGTATGAGAAGGCCCTGGAACGTCAAAAACATGGAGTTCGAAATTTTGGGTGGACGGTACCTTTAAGGCTTGGTACATACCTGACGATGGGTGGCTATAGCTGACGATGCGTCGCTGCTAGTAGCAACGCTTTTTATGCGTATCGATTGCAGCCAAGCGACGCTGCTGCAGCCATCGCGAAACAGACCCGCTTTAGCTAGCGATGCTGCGCTGCTTCTAGCTGCTCCCAGCTGCTCGTTGCTGCTCCTAGCTGCTACGCGATATGAAGCTCACTTTTTGTGAGCTTTTCTCAGCTGCTCCATGCTGCTATCAGCTGATTTCGCTCGGATTTGCTTCTATTTACCATTCTTTGTGTTTTTAAAGAATTTCCAGAGCATTTGTTGCGTTAAGTGAACTATGACAGTTTGCGAGACTATTAAGGACAAATGCATAGGTGAACAAATCAATCTGAACGAGGTAAACTCTACAAGACCTCTGGAATCAAAATAGAATATGAATAGAGTAGGATGAACAGCTAGAGGAAGATAGTGGGATGTCGCTAGCTCACTCATGCAATACGGCAGGGAATAGACCTAGTTAAATTGTTGCCTCAAGCACACGTAAGGGTCATGTGTGACATTCAAATTAACATCTGTCAAACTATCTCAGTTTCTTTAGTAAATGCAGCATTTGTGCGCGTGCTTATTACAAACAAAACTTTATAGTGATAGTAGTGTGCTATATATTTCATAATTCATGGATTCCAGCGATGAGATTCATTAAATTCATTTCTCCGTTAATCTAGATCAGCTGGGAGGGCTGATAATACTTTGCTGCTGCACCTAAAATGCACCCATGCGCAGCAGCTTCAAGCAGCTAGAAGCAGCGGAGACAGCAGCGATTCGCCAATACCCGCTATACCTCCATCGTCAGGATGTATGAAGCCTAAAGGGGGTGGCAAACTTTATGAACGATAGCGCGCTCTTAGGCAGGCGTGTGTCAATAAGGTGTGCACCGTTAGCCCCGCCTATCGCAAGATGGACGAGTTCTTTGCAGTACACCTCTAGCACTGCTTTATGGTCATGTTCCCTAGTCAAGTGAAAGCAACTTCTGATAGTGAGTTATAAGTTGTTGCAAGCTGCGGTGAAGCTTGACTATTTACATAATTTTGTTTTGCTTCTTCTTTCTTTTCTGCCAGTCATGAACAGCTAATGTGTTGATCGTGAAGTTCGAGATCTGCTGATTTACCTATGAATGACCGAGTGACTCGTGGATATCCAACTTTGACGTGTGAAATCAATCTAACCTAAGGCATGATTGTCTGAGTGACCTCACATCTTACGACTAGTTCACACGCAATTTCGATTGAGTTACAGATCAGTTTATAGTGAGGGTAACAGTTTTTGAAAGCAAACAAAAGAATTTTGTTATCTAAAGAAGATTCGAAAAAATATAAGTGCAGTGTGATTTTCCTTTTTCTGAAATCTGAAAAAGTTTGTGGGATACATGTGACCGCATATTTGCAAAACGAGTGATATCTGATTGTGCGAAACCTTACCAAATGTAATGATGTACACAATTTATCGAAATTAGTTTGCTTAAACAAAATTGGCCTATAATGCTTGTTTTGAATTCTCGTCGCAATGAAATCTGGTTTTAGCTATGATTAGGGTTTCAAAACTTACTTTTTCGACAAAAAAGGTAATCATTTGGTTTTGGTCATTTCAGCGAATATATCAATATTTCTCGGTAAGCTGACTTCTTTTTGAACTAAATGTAGGTGCACAATAAAGAATAGTCAATATAGTAACAGATGTGAATAAAGAAAAACACTTTTCCAAGCATGAAATAATTTCCTCATACTAACAATAAACAATCAATTTGGACAAACCTACCAGGGATAAATAACTGAAATACATTGAAAAGAGCATGCGAATAAATTTATAATGAAAAAAGATCTGAAAACTGATTTTCAATTCAAGTGAAATTTTGAAATCTACTGTTATCCAGATTGCAACCAACTGAAGAACCAATGATTGCAACGCATTCCTAGGCCAATTAACAAGGGGGCGGAGCGATCAGCGCACTGCGTACGGTACCCAGCTGGCGGCTGGCACATGGTATCGTTCATAAAGTCATACGCCCCCTTAAGGTAGTGGCTCGGCAGATTTTGCATTTCCATCTTTTTGCACGTTTTGGGCCTTCTCGACTCGTAGATCCCGAATCTAAGCTTTAAAAGGGGTGAAAAGGCCTTTTTCAGGGCGTTTTTTTCAATTTCCAAAAGGCAGCTCGGACGAGAATTTTTAAAGGGAGGTCGGGAGGCCCTGGCACGAAGACCCTGCTGCCTGTAATTTTGGCTTTGTATAGCATGCACAATGCGGGAAAGCGGTTGGGGGGTCCCGCGCCGTCTAGCGGAGAATACTCGTCCGAACAAGGTGTTAGGGAGCGAAAGGAGGAAAGGGAGCGGCGCTTGGGCCGCCCCCCTGGCTTGCAGAGTTCACATTTACGGCACGGAATTGCTCTTTTGGTTCACTTGGAGGGCCTCCTATCCATCTGTGTCAAAATCTGAGGTAAGTCAATCTGCCGAGCCGCTGCCTTTAAAGGCAGCGTCCAGGCAGATCCGAGCTCGACGACCACGCCCACTTCCCTCGGACGGCCAATCCCTTACGAATGAAATCTCCTCAGCCTTGACGTGTTTTCACATGACCAACACAGTCGAACTTACAGCGTTTACCTGTTAATACTTGCTCTCGACAAGGATGACGTCAGAAGCACTCGTCCGGCTTTTCCCAAGACAGCCGCAAAAGGTGGTTTTCTGAGAAATTCACGCTTTTTGAGTTCCATATTCGGAATCAGCGCCATGGAAAGGCCTGGATAACATGAAAATATAGAAGTCGAGAATCTGCCTGGACACTGCCTTTAAGGGCAGTGTCCGGGCAAAAGGTCGATTTTGAGATTGTATGCTTACCCGGGCCTATCAGGCGGGATCCGAAAACCCACAGTGGAGAGCGCAAAAACGGCAAAAAGGGCTCTAACGCAGAAGGCAGGGGGCGGGGACTCGTACCTATAGTTACAAACAGGGTAAAGTAAGAGGTGTGGCACACGATCACCGGTTACGCCCCCCCCCCCCTCTTATTGCTGTCTCAATAAGACCCCCTGAACTATATACCTAAGAGATAGCATTACTTGAAGGCCCTGTCAAACATTACGGGCAACATATCCATAATTAGCATGTCAATTAACCCCTGTAGACAATGTTTGAGCGAATTCTGAAGTTTCAAGATACTGAGTCACCTAAGTAAAATCGCCATTTTCCAGCATGATTAACTTTGTTTCAAAGGTGAAGTAGCTAGCTGTTTTTGACACTCAGGACGAAGCACTGCTCCTTCTTTGGCCACCTCAGAAATCTCGATTCAAAAGACCTTCTAACTTTGCAATTAGAGGCCAACAAAAATTTTGTTTTTCCTTTGTCGCTTTTAATGGCTGTTCTTTCACCAAATATTACTCAGAGCTAACTAAGAAGACGAATCAGGTTCAAATCACTCCTATAAAATCTACGAGGTCTAGGCTATCGATTCATATAAATAACGTTCGTTTTTTTCGTTTTTTTTTGATATAGTTAATGGGGTGTGGCACCACCCCCAAAAAGGTGTGGCTGCCACAAATAGTAGTTCTTTGTACTAAGCGCAAAAAGAAGTTGTTAACTTACCTTTGAAACAAAGTAACATGTTTGAAAATGACCATCTCACTTAGGTGGTCCTGTATCTGGAAAGCTCAGATTTCGATGAAAGTTGGATCACAGAGGGTATTTTACTTGCTAATTACAAAACGAGCTCTTATGCTTTACAAATCTTTAATTATGCTTACTGTACGATAATGGGTCAAACATCAATGTGCTAGTATTTTGTATGACGGGCCTACTCAGATAATCGCCGGGGGCAGGCAGTCTGCAAACTCGTGCTTTTCTGCAGGCGGTCAGCAGAATTTTGGGGCGTGGCCAAACCTTCAGCGGGCGG